AAAAGAAAGAAGCAAAAGAAGCTTTTTTCGAATTCCATTTCGACCAAATATTTTGCTCAAGCAAAATATATCAGTCGCTTCTTATCTTTTTGTTTTTCTCCCTTATAAAAAAATCAGCTGGAAAATTGAATAGATATCAAAAACAATGAAAATCAATCTGTTTCTTTCACATTCACGAACAATTTTGTTGACTTAAAGTTACCAATTTGCTAAGAAAAAAAATCATTAATATTTCATTCAAAAAAGCAGGATCACCGAACACTAAATAACAAAGTGTTCAAATGTATACATACGCCATCCAAACGTCAACTCCAGAAATAATTAAACTAATAATTTTAAAGAGAAAAAAAAAAGAGAAAACAATAGGCATCAAAAACTTCCTTTCCGTTTTCAGAAATTGGAAATGATATAATTGAAACTTGGAAAGAATAGAGCAAATTCATTCCGAACAAACTTCTTGCAATATGTCTAATAGTTAAAGACGGCGGATACTACTTTAACAGACATCAATTGTTACACAGCCACCTGTAATCGGCGATAAATATCACTTCTGATTGCATGAAAAGGTTAACAACCAAAAAAAAAAAAACTTTCCCTGTATTTTGCTCTTCAACACAACACTTTCATAAACTCTAATCGTATCAGGCCATCAAACCACATCCATTTTGGCACGTATCTATTCATCTTTTTGCAAATAAATACAGAGGTTAATAAATAAATACATATACTACCATATACTACATATATATATAAGACATAGAAAAATTGACGAGTAAAGATATCCCCTGAACAAATGAGATGAAAAGTAATTCTTTTTTTTTTTTTAAATTGAAGAACACTCATCCAAATAGTATCAGTTTTCAGAAGAAAAAACAGCAATGTTACCAAAACTATTCTATGTGAGTATGAATTAGGAAACATGAAAAAAAAAAAGACAACGTTTCCATGCCAGTTTAGTCTCAGTAAATGATGGCACTTAGAAAAAATTTAGCAATAAATTGAACGATTATTTAATTGCACACTTATTTCAGATGCACCTTAAGTAATATAAAAATTAGAAATTTCAACTTTTTTTTTTCTCCAATCTTTAAAGTAAAACCGCCGGTGACGAAATAAACAAAATAATTGAAGACGAATGAAGTAAACAAAAAAAAAAAAAAGGAAAGTATATATTTCTTCTAGATAGCTTTAATATTTTTTTGAAATTTCTGTATTACTTCGTTCGTTTTTTTTTTTT